GCCTGATTAGCTTGGAGAAGAGAAGGCTCCAGGGAGACCTGATTGTGGCCCTCCAGTACTTGAAGAGAGTGTATAAACAGGAGGGGGAATGGCTACTTTCCAATTTGGATACTGATAGGACAAGGGGGAATGGTTTTAAACTGAGACAGGAGAGGTTTAGATTAGATATTAGGAAAAAGTTTTTAACACAGCGGGTGGTGACACACTGGAACAAGTTGCCCAAGGAGGTTGCGGATGTCCCATCCCTGAAAGTATTCAAAGCCAGGCTGGATGTGGCTCTGAGCAGCCTGGTCTGGTGGTTGGCCACTCTGCATGTAGCAGGGGAGTTGAAACTGGATGATCATTATGGTCCTTTTCAACCCAGGCCATTCTATGATTCTAGGATTTTTATAAAATATCTCTGTATTTGTAGGCTGATCGAGTAGAGAGGATACTTTGCCTATTGGTGTCTTCTGTAAGACTCCTACAGCACTAAATTTTGAGGGAGCAGGAGCAAGAAAAGCAAGAGGTATTTCTAAACGTACACTAACATCAGGGAGGCCAATATATGTAATGAACCTTACTATATCTACTATCCTAACATAGACAGGTCCTGATTTACTAAAATAAAGGATAAATAGAAATTTCTGTGCTAAATATTTTTATGAAAATACTTTCTTTTATTTACTTTACTTCAGAAAATGCAATTCTGCACCATGATGCTAAAGAGTAAACTGACACTTTGCTGAACAGTGCTAGCAGTGGAAGGCCACTGGCACCCTGGCCAGAAATAGTGTTGCCAGCTGCAGCAAGGAGGCAGTCATCCCTCTTTATTCAGCACTGGTGAGGCCACACCTCAGTTTTGGGCCCCTCACTACAAGAAAGATATTGAGGCACTGGAGCATGTTCAATGAAGTGCAACAATCCTGTGAGGGGTTTGGAGCACAACTCTTATGAGGATTCACTGAGGGAACTGAGATTGTTCAGTCTGGAGAAGAGGAGGCTCAGGAGAGACCTTATTCCTCTCTACAACTATCTGAAAGAGACTGTGGTGAGGATCATCTCTTCACCCGTGGAGCTAGTGATAGGATTGGAGGAAATGATCTCAAGCTGCTCCAGGGGAGATTCAGGTTGGGTGTTAGGAAAAATTTCTTCAATGAAAAGAATGGTCAGACACTGGAATGGGCTGCCCAGGGAGGTGGTTAAATCACCGTCCTTGGAGGTGATCAAGAAACGTTTAGATGTTGTACTAAGGCACATGGTTTAGTGGGAGAGTGTTGGTGATAGGTAGGCAGTTGGACTGGATGATCTTGGAGGTCTTTTCCTACCTTGATGATTCTGTGATTCTAAGAACAAACATTGCTAAAATTGGTAGATCTTTCATGAATAACTTCAGAAGCTTGAATCATACTTTCAATTAATTTCTTTCGGCTATTACTTAGCCAATTAAGGAATCAAAACAGTGTTAAGTCCTGAGCAATCACAGAGCCAAACACAATTCCTGTCCTTCAGAAATTGCTGCTTTACCTCCATATTCAACAGGTGAGCCAAAATAAAGTGCATCTGGATCCAAATCATATCTGGTGTTATTTAGTTAGTTGTATCAAAACCTGTTATTACTGAGAACAGAGGGTTGTTTTAGCAGAGCTGCACAAAGGTTGTTGTTGAAAGTCATTCTTTTTTTGCTCAGGCATTGCAGCTCATCTGGAATTTTGATTGCTGAATCTCTGGCTAGTAGAGTAATGTACATAAAATGCAGTGCTGTAGTGTCAAATGTTGTGAGGCACATTAAAGAAACTGGAAAACTTGGGGCTCAGAATTTCCTTTGTGTGTGTGTGGTTGATAAGTATTCTGTTTTAATATATTGTATTTCCTTAATTATGTCTCTGCATTGCTACACATATGTGACACTATAGTATAATTAATTTTGAAATGTTTAATGTAGCAAATAGCTCAAATGCATGCACTGATTCATAACGCACAGCTGTCCCCTACATACGCATGAAAAAAAGAATATTCAAAAAGCCAAACATCCTCATGTCTGTTCCATTACTTCTCTTAACTGTAGAAAGTTCCACACAAATGTATTCAGATTATGATATTCTAAGGCATTGGATGGTGTTTCTTTTATAGGTAAGCAACATGAAAGTAGTAATAACAACAATTGTGATTAGAATATTAGTGAACTTCAGTGAGTTACCCACATATCCAAATAGCATATAGTTAAGGAATTCATAATACGATCAGCAGAATAATGCCTTCAGTTACAAGGAATTTTTTAGTACGGAAATGAGTCATTTTATCTAAAGGAACCAGTAGAAATACTAGACCACTAAGGCTAGCCTTACTTTTAAGTGTGTGTATCTCAGAGTTGCCTGTGGTAAAGGAGTTTTTAATGCGTTTGTGATATATTTGATTTGGAAAGGCTACAAAGATTATGCCTGAATTTTTCTAGAAGAAATGCAAATGACCTCTATGTGCAATCTAAACTTCCTTCTTGAGCAAGCAGTGATGGTAGATTGAACGCTTGCTTAACACTGTCATAAACCTGAATGAAACATCACACAGTGCTTTATAACCAGCTGCAGATATGCAAAGGTTTTTCAGATGCCATGCTTGTCTAGTATACAACAAATAAAATAAAATGGTCTTCTATATGCAGCTGAAAGATTTCCTCTCGCTGTTTCACCCTGCATAGTACTCATTTGTTAGTAATCATACTCAGATTTGTTCTGCTAGGGAGGGTTACCCATATGCAACATGGTATGGTAAAGACATGCAAGCTGTCATCTGCTTCTCCATTCACAAGAGTACAGAGTGCTTCACTTGTGATTTCCCATTTGCCCATAACTTTGGCCTGAGAAATCTCCTTAATCTGAAAAGTCTGATGAGTTACTGCTGCTGAGCACCATAATAACATGGTGGAAAATGCTGCAGGAAGGTGTTTTCCTTATTTAATTCACTGATTGTCCAAATGATGAAACAATTAAGTCTTTACAGAGCAACATTCAACAGCATGCCATTGAGTACACACAGTTTTCAGTATAAAATTGCACTCAAAGAATCCCACTCTTTCAGCAAAAGTAAAAACAAACCTCAAAACAAAATAAAATGCTTGTTGACCTTTTTTTTTTCTTGACTTCAGAGGATATTGAATTGCACAGCTGAAATAAACCACAGATATGGGTTTGTGTTTGAGATTGTATTGAAACTGAGATTACTCCAGAGCTCTGTTTGTGCACTTGCTACTAAGATAAGAAATGGCAGACAAATATTTTCTATCAGAGTTTATTACTGACACTGGCACTGACACTGGTTGCAAATATAACTGTACAAAGATTTTTTTCACCTAATATTAAAAATAACAAAGCATTAATGACCTATTATCTTAAATGACAAAATGAAAATTTCCACAAGCAAGCTCTAGAGATGAATACATGCAGAAATATAAAAGGAAAATGTCTGGTGGACTGGGAGAAACTATATTTCCATAGAATGTCCTTGAAGATTTTGTGCCTTATTTCCATGTCACTATAGCCAGAGCCAGCGAATTGAAACAGGAGTTGCAATCCTGACTGTTTTTATTTCTGCTTTGATTTCCTCCCTGAGTATTTATTTGCACTTCTGTTAAATCTGGGTGAGAGCTGTGACTACCAACTGTATAGCAGTCTTATGGACCTTCCAGTTCTGTGATCAAGCGTAATTTCACATTAAGCTGGGGGTCTGGCTGGAGATGATAAATGAAGCACTAACTAGTTCCACCACCATCACAGCATTCTTCTACCCAGCTACCAGCAAGAGGCTCTTGTAAAGAGCCGCAGAATCAGAATTTGTTTCTCCACTTTTCTCCTGGTAAGGAATAAGTGAAAGTGGTTTCAAATAATTAAAGAAGCAAAATTATGGAAATCCCAAGTCCGCAACAATAATAACTTGAAAAACACTCAAAACTTGCTATGATAACCCAAGGGGCTGTTTTCCAAGGTAATTTGGATGCCTCAGTGAAGGGAAGCAGACAAAAAAATTGTGTTACTTGCACTAATTTAGCTGCTTACATCCCTTTAAAAATCTGGCCTTCAGTCGTGTATGCTGTACTGAGCTGTTGCAATACCTGCAGCCCTTCCATGTTTAGGGTATGTTGTTTTTGAGTTAACAGTATACAATAAACACATTAAGTAGGACTTTTTTGTTTGATATTGAAGATGAAATGTACTTGGAGAAAGCTCTGTCCTAACAAATAGCTTTGTTTCTTCAGGCTTGAACAGATCAGTTCTACCCTTTCTTCCCTAACAGAAACTAGAATAGGTTGTTACTAGTTTGGTAAAATTCCACTCTAAAACATAAATAATACTCAGTAACCTGACCCCAGATCCACATGTAATTCATACCAGAAATAGCATCTTATCAATCTGCAGTGTTACAAGAAGCAGCAATTACAAGTGCTTTACTGAAAATGCTGCAGCAAAGCAGCAGTAGCCAGTAGACTATTAACTACTGCATTTTTGTTGTATCTATTTTGTCTTTTTTTCTCTCTTAACATTGGTTAAGAGAGTTAGAGTAGAATAGGAATGGTTTAAAAATCCATGACATAAGGAACTTTCCTGTCTCAAAATCTGCTTTTATTTGACTCTGTGAGGATTTCAGAGATGCAAGTACTTTACGTCTACCATTTTTGGGCTTTTACTGTTGAATGCTCCTTTGTTTAACACATGCTTCCTGGATTATGGCTGCTAACAATAAAAGCATGCTTCTCAGGTATGTTACATTTCAAGTTACTTTTTATTGTACAAAGCCTTAGCTTTACACTGCAGTTATACGATCTATTTATATGATCCACAGAAGATGCATTCTGGATGCACTTGTGTTTTTCATCTTCATTTGGAACTATAACTTTCAATATATATTTTTTCCTGAAGTTCTATGAAGTTCCTGAAGTCCTGAAGTTGCTGCAGACACTTTACTTACCATATCTCATATCCTTTCCTTCTCTTTGCTTAACCTCTTTTATTCTATATTCTTTTCAGAAACTGAGTAAATGGTATGGAAAAAACCTGGATATTGGATTGAAGATCTTAACAGTTGCTGCTCTTTGAGAAGCTAGTAAGTTATCAGAATGAATATCTGCATTCTACTGTAAGCCCCCAAGATTCTTCAATATCCATTCCAAATGCTTCTTTGTCAGTATCACCATAATTGTTAGCTGCTTTCACTTGAGGCACCAACCTGTCTTCATACACTCGGTATAAAAATACTCAGTTGTAAAAAAATTGGGTAAAAAGGAATTAGAACCCTCAGATACAGGTGGTGTATGTTTAATTTCAGCATTTTTTCCAGCAGGAAGCTACACTTGTAGCACTGTCTGCAAGTCTTTAGCCTGATTTTTACCTTTCTAAGAATGTGAGTAACAAAGCGATTAGAGAAAAAGGAAACTTCTTATTTATGCCAAATCAGATTAGAGTGGAATTGATCGTTTATTTTAAAGGCTTGTTTTAAAGGAAAGTGTTACAGGAGAGCTCTGTAGCAACCTCAGATCAGTGGAGAATAGAGACAGTAGGCTGTGTTTGATTCTGGTGTTGTCTACTCAAGTTTCATTGCAGCATGAGAAGATAAACCAACTGGAACAAACTTTAGAGCACAGTGAAAAGAAGATGCAGCAGCTGGTAGCAGATATTAAGTCCCAGACTATTCTAGTTGCTAACAGCCCTTAAAAGTATTTACCAAAATTACCAAATGGCCATAGTGCCGTGATGAATTTCAGAGAAACTTCACAGAACTGGAATTTTCTTAATTGAAATTGCTGAGTTTAAAACATAACACAAAAGCAGCTGAAGTTCATACTGCTCTCAGAAGGAAAAGTTACAGTAGTATATTTTCCAGGACTAAACGGAACTTCTTTCTCCTTTGTGATATCATTCAGACCAATAAATTTCAAAGCCGAATCAAAAAATGGAGACTTAATGATAATTTTAATCATGAAATTAGCCAGGTATCAATAACCTTGAGTGAGAGAGACGCAGTATCGGTTAAAATGGAAAGAATCTGGCAGTCACAGTCATTAAAGTGAGTGATGAAAAATAAACAATTGTGTTAGAGTTCAAAGTTACCAACCGACTTTACAATTTAAACAATTTAAAGGAAGAAAATCAAACTCCATGTCTTTTTGTTTGAGTGTTCCAGTTACTGAACTGGCTGCAGGACTATTGCTAAGACATGTTACCTGGGGCTATTCTTTAGATATGCTCTCAATTTTGGTACCTTTGTTTTTGATTTAATTATGAAAGATATTTTATTGACTCTAGGCAGAAAGCTCTGGCAAAAAAGAATGTGGCGACTCAGACAGAGCACCCACCTAAAGAGGTGCAGTGCAGTTCAAGTCTCTGTTTGCAGTGAGTGTCTGAGCCTGCTGCTGCCTCTGAAGGGCAGCAGAGATTCCACATGCATGACATCTGAGCAGGTGGTTGATCTGCTCTGTGTGGTGGTGGAGCTCAAGAAGGAGGTGGAGAGATTAATGAGTATCAGAGAGTGCAGGAAGAGATAGATTGGTCAACAAACTCTGCCGAATTTGCAAGGAAGACCTGGGCGTGATACCCCACAAATGTTAGTGGGCCCCCTCCCCTGGCCATCATCGAGCAGAGGTAGGTGATTTAAAGGAGAGGAGTGGAAACAGGTCCCAGGTTGGTGTGATAGGAAAACCCAATCCCGACCCACCTCAGTTGCCCAGGTGCCCTACCTAGTAAGTTTGAGGTTCTGGAACTTGAGGGCAGAGGTGAGGAAGGTCCACCCATGAGGTTGTTGGGGGAGACGCGGTCAACCCCACACCTCCAGATGATGTCTGCCAAGAAGGACAGAAGGGTGACTGCCGTGAGCAGCTCCTCTTGAGAGGAACAGAGGGCCCTGCATGTCAGCCCAACCCTGCCTGCAGGGAAGCATGCTGCCTTCCTGGGGCCCTGGTCAGGGGTATTTCTAGGGAACTTCCCAGTCTGATTCATCTCTCTGATTGTTATCCTTTATTTACAGTTCAGGCCTTTATTGATAGTTCTTTCTCAGCAATAAAGTCACTGAAAGAAGCCTGATGATTATCAAAAAGGATTCCAGGGGACTGGGGCAGTTAGTGATCAGAGTGGGCACACAGGTCCTATTTTCCTTTATTCCTTCAGTTGTAAAGAAGGAAGGATGAGAGGAGCAGCAGAATCCATCTTGTAAGTCCATGGCTGAGAGACTGATGCAAATGCAGCAATTTTGTTTTTTTTAACCATGGGGTTGTTTACTTAGCACCTGCCATGGTTGTTAGGATGTGCAGGGAGAAAACTAGAAAGGCAAAAGCCCAGCTTGAACTCAACTTGGCCATTGAGTAAAAGAGAACAAAAAACATTTTTACAAATCTGTGAGCAGTAAGAGAAGGACTAAGGAAAATCTCCATCCTTTACTGGATGTGGTAGGGAATATTGCCACTGAGGATAAGGAAAAGGCTGAGGTTTTCAGTACCTTCTTTATGTCTGTCTTTAAAAGTCAGACCAGTTATTCTTGGGGTACTCTACCCTCTGACTTGGAAGTCTTGGATGGGGAGCAAAATAAACATCCCACTATTCAGGTGGAAACAGAGACCTTCTACTCCACCTGGACAAGTCCATGAGGCTAGATGGGATCCACATGAGGGTGCTGAGAAAGCTTGTGAAGGTGATAGGCAAGCCACTTTCCACCATCTATCAGTGTTTCAGGTTAACTGGAGAGGATACAGATGATTGGAGACTTGCCAGTGTGATTCCCATCTACAAGATGGGTCCTAAAGAGAATTCAGGGAACCGCAGGCCTGTCAGCCTGACCTTGGTGTCAGGAAAGGTTATGAAGCAAATCATCCTGAAGGAGATCGCACACCATGTGAGGGACAACCAGGGCATCAGGCTTAGTCAGCATGGGTTCATAAAAGGCAGGTCCTGCTTGACCAACCTGATCTCTTTTAAGATCGAGTGACTCACCCAGTGGGTGAGGGAAAGACTGTCTAGTGTACCTAGACTTCACAAAGCTTTTTACACAGTTTCCCACAGTATTCTCCTGGAGAAGCTGGCAGTCCGTGGCTTGGACAGGTACATTCTTTGCTGGGTAAAGAACTGGCTGGATGGCTGGGCTCAGCAAGTGATGGTGAATAGAATTGAATCCAGGTGGCATCTGGTCATGAGTGGTGCTCCCCAGGAGGCGGTACTGGGGCCTGTCCTGTTCAATATCTTTATTGATGACCTAGAGGGGAGTTTATGGTAAGGTGAAGGTCAGCTCTTCTCCCATGTAACTAATGACTGGATTAGAGGGAATGGCTTTGAGTTGCACCAGTGTAGATTAAGGTTGGACAGTAGGAAATACTTCTCTGAGAGTGGTCAGGAGCTGGAACAGGCTGCCCAGGGAGGTCCATAGGGGTGTAAAAGAAAGGGTGTATTTAGAAGTTGTACTGAGTGACATCTGATATATGGATGGTTGGACTGGATGATCTTAGAGGTCTTTTCCAACCTTGGTGATTCTACAATTCTGTGATTGTTTGACACGTGATAAATGTTTATAGCAGTACAAATCACAGCCTGGATGAACTGTGAGTGCATCAATTCCTATTAGGTGGGCAAATTCCCTGGGAGTGTTAGATTGCCACTCTGTGGGAAAGCGCAATGTCCTACATTATTTTCTGTTACATCAGTGGAAGACAGAAAAAAGAAAGGAGACACCAATCAATGTTCCACTTTGCTCAAAACGCATGGTGGGATTAGTTCTGTGGGAAAAACAGTTCTGTGGGATTTTTGAAAGAGGAATTCTGGAGAATCTAAAACCACACGGTGTCTGACCTCTATACAGCATGCCAGTGAGCTGACCAACAGTCTTACAAATGCTGCGTGTCAGTCAGAACTGCAGTCTAAGCACTTTCCTTCTTCTTCCTTCAATGATAAAATCCCTCAGGCTGAGCAAAGGTATGGCCTGAGCCACAACTCATCATCAGCTCAAGGAAAGAAGAGGCATGTTACTCCTTTTAGAGCAAGATCTTTAAGTATGTGCTCAGGGAACAATTTTGACTTTTGTATGATTATTTATAATTTAAAACATTTAAATATGAAGCCATGTTTGTACTCTGCTGTCTGTATGGATAGGTTTCACCTTCACAGATAAGAGTCCCTTCTCACAGCAGTTTAAATGTAGTTCCTTTCCTAAAGGGATACCAGTTGATCCACTCCTATTTGAAAGTCTTTTTTTTTAAGTCAATAGCTTCTTCAAGAACCGTAACTTATTTTATTTAAGGGGCAGTTTAATCACAGTATGATAGAAAAGAATTAGGTAGACTTTGTAACATTTTAGGGCACACAAAGTGAGCTGTAGGAAGAAACATAAGAGAACGTAAGAGAAATTCAACAGAGGAATGGCTCCTGTTTGTATGGCAGTTTAATTCTGTCACACACCAACAAGATGATATATTTTAGAATCATAGAATCACAAAGGTTGCAAAAGATCTCCAAGATCACCCAATCCAATCATCACCTACCACCAATATTTTTCTATTAACCAATGTCCCTTAGTACAACATCTAGTATCCATTGGCCCTCCAGACTTTAAGGCTGCTGGTACTGTATAGAATCAAAGTTAGGGTTATCAGTTTTCCTCCAGAGAAAACTGCTGTCATGAAGACTTCACTGTTGAATAAATTATAGAAAATTTTTATCTGAGTTTATTTAAAAAAAAAAAGGAAAAGTTTAAAATATCCAGAGGCCCTCTTTTACAATTTCTATGTTTTTAAATATTTATTTTTTTCTTATTTCAAAATAATTACTAGCTTTGAATTTTATCTTACAGTGCTTCAAAGGAATTTTAAGTTCAGTTGAAATATTTCATGTTAGTTAAAGCAGAATACTTCAGTTGATCAACTGTGATCTTTCCAGACATGTAAATTTATTCATGAGTCAGAGAACTCAGTTTCTGACAAGCCATAACTAAGCTTATTATGAAAAATAAGATTCATCAACTTGAATAATTAACAAGATCTATAATCTTGCAATTAGTAACTTCTGTTAGTCACAGAACAAGCAGTCATGTGAGAATTTCATAAATATATAGGAAAGTAAAAGCTATTACAGAGTCAGCAATTCTCCTTCTGGAATGATAAAGCATTTTTTCAAAGCCAGCATC